GCGATTCGGTCACGTTGTGTCGGCTATGAAAATATTTTCAACACTTTATCGTGGTTAGGCAAACCAAACTTGTTTTTTTTATGTAGAATCATTTTTTTTCGTGGACCTTATGCCCAAAATATGTATCACCAATAATTCCTATATCAAGAGTTCGGTTGAAGTTCGGGAAACTTTCGGGGCGCACATGTAGGCCACGTGAAAGTCAATCTCTTCAGAAATGATTATACGATTCGTAAAGCTTGGATGAAAGTCGAAAGTAAGGGGTACAAAATAGTCTCTGACGTCTCAAAAAATGTTGATAATTCCAAAATGATTTTCTATTGATTTCATAACGATTTCATGGATTATTTCATGGAAAGTCAAATGTTTAGCAAACGTACTTTTTGATATTATAATGATTTAATGCTAACTTTGAAACTATTTAAAAGAAAAAATTTGTATGAAATACTATAGTTTAAAACATTTTTTGGCTTACACCAAACTTAAATTACATTTTCAGACTTACTTGAGATTTTACTAATTTCATTTTCTACTTTGGATACATAGTACTGTGTATGATTCCAATAGTCGTTTATATTAGAATGATTTCACTAAGAAAAGTCCAAACGATTCCACTGCTGGTACATACAACAATTCACATCGACGGAGGAAAAACTGAAACTCCATTTTTAACGCAAAAAGGAAAAAAGTACCCAGTCCCCGCAGTTTGGGCGAAATAGCAGCAACAACCCCCCAATACTTCCCGCAGAAGCCACTGGCCATTATCCTGGACACGAATCCCGACGGCCAATGGAAAATCACTTGACAAGCCGCAGCACATCAGCCGAACATATTCCGCGCGAGACTCCGCTTCCATTGAACGGAGAAGGTGCAAGTCTAAAGCAGCAGCGGGGCGTGTACTGGAGCTACATCGGCACCGGGGCTTACAATGCCCGGCTCTGCGAGCGACAGCGACTAGCTGTCCACGAAAGCTTTCAAAAGTTCTCGCACCACATGCTCGGTGTACACGCGTGTGTCTGTACACACCAGTGGCGGGGATGGGGCTCGGGATTACAAGCGTGTTCGCGCCGCTGCTGAGAATCGAGGGTCCTCTTGTAACGAGCTTGCAAGCTCTCGACGAAGTTCGGGGTACGGGAGGAGGATGGGGATGATGACGCGTGCGAGGGCCGTAAGTACTGCTAAGCTCGAACATTGGCAAACAAAAGGGCTCCTGGCTCGAGTTTGCTCGAATGTGGAGGAGGATATTGAGATACTGTTGTGTCACTGGGGCTACGAACGTCGAGGCTTAGTTGCCGTTTTGTGGTGTTTAGCCTGATCGATTGACAACATCGGAAGTACGGGTGCAGGATACGCGCAGTCAAGTTGCTTTTATGATTCGATTCCACTCAAGTTTGATGAACTTTTTTGTCCGTGTAATTAATTTGATCCTCCTTGAAGAGTTATCTCCATTGTAAGAGATTAAAAATTTTGATTTTTGTGCATCAAAAACATCATTTATTCAATTCTAATAATTATTTACCAATTAACCGAATTAGTGACTATAGTTAATTGTATTATTTTAAAAGGTAGCTAGATTTTTTTCCGATTAAAACTATTGTAGAAAAAAGTACCAACACTAATAAGGGTTTTTTTTCTCACCTGAACATGTGACTGCCATTTAATTTTTCTCATGCCATATTATATAACAATTGTATTCATTAACAACTCATCTAACTAAAGATGTTATGTCGTTACGCTAAGTCAACTTCAATAATTTACAATAACTTTTCTGGAGTATACTTATTGATTTTTAATATAGTTTTTGTCATTTGAATATTACTTGTAAAGAACATGTATTAGAGCTTGTTTCTGTCTTACTCAAATTCTTTACCACATTACATTATTTTCCGTTGTAAGTACATGGATGTAGAAAAATATTGTCAAGACTAACATTCTTTAGAACGCTATCTTAATGTTCCCCTAAGGCACAATAGCCTAAGGCTTGTGTCGGAGTGTCGAACGTCACTTTTCTTACCAAGACTGAAAAGTGTTGTGTGTACATGGAATTACCCACTCTATTGTTGAAAACAAAGCCCAGCTATAGAATATATTCAAACTTTCTTATTATAATAAACACTTTCCCAGCAACATTAAGTATCTGTGTGAGTAAACAAAATAATAACTAGCAGCGCTAGTTTCAATTATGTCGCACAAATTTATTATCTAAGAGAGCTGATGAAAAACTACAAAGACTTGGACACGTAACCGGCTAAGGTGACGTTTTACAATTACTGTACAGAGTGTCTCCCTCCCGAGGTGACTCATTTACCTACTTTCTTTGATTAAACAAACAGCAGAAAACTAATTAAATTAAAAGCCGGATGGAGCTTTTGTTTCAGCTCTCCTTGATCTGCAGGCTTGATTTTGATCTTTGAAGAACTGCAACACCACCCTTTACTGCATATTAAATTCTCGCTTTGTTCATCTCTGCGACTCACTGAGATCGTTATGTGCATTCTCACCTGCACTGCAGGAGCTTCTATGAATGAAAAAAAATTTTACCTCACTTTCCCCAATAACAGTTATGTGTGTATTACTTTTAAACTACATCCTTGTTTATTAATATTCGTTCCCTTTTATCTTGGACAAAAATAGATATACGAGCCCCAAAACGATGATAATGATGATAAAAGTGTAATTATAATAAAATTAATAATAGTAGTAGCAATAAAAATAAAAAAAATAATAATAGTAGTAATACTCATGGGGTAAGTTTGATCATTAGTTAATTGGAGATGAAGCTCCGCATCTCAGCTCAATACGCCAGGAGGAACAATTTAGTAGTAAACTGTGACGAGGCACGTACGTCTCAGTGCGTTTATCTGTTTAATGTTACATCCAACGTACCAAAACCCATCAAAGTATCTTTTATTAACCTATTAGTTAGTTGCCTAACCAAAGTCAAATTAACCAAAAGAAGGGCCAGAAACTCCTAACTTTAACTGTAAACATGTTAAGATATTAACATCGATAGACTTAAGATTATCGAGCTCATTACCCCTTTTTTTCGTATACATGTAGTCAAAGTTGACAAATTTCTACCAGTAATCGCTGTTCCAACAGTATAAATGAAACAGTTGGAAAAAATCATAAGACTTGCTTATTATCGGTCCAAGATTAGTTTTGCCAAACTCGACTACCATTACTCGCCTTTAAGTTAGCATCATATGAATAGATTTTTGATCGATTGTTTAGAAATTTAAGTAAGTTTATGGTCGTCTACTATCACAAAAAAATCTGTGATTCATAGTTTTGGATGGAGAAAAAAAACGTGAAAACAATGTCAATTTAGATACTTTTTTTTTGACAATCTTAGAAACTTGCAAACGTCGACCGCACGAGAAGACAACGGATTGATTTTTTTTAAATATCGATATCATTAGTTTTCCTTTAAGCAAATAGTACACTTCACTCAGTTTATTTTATTTAACTTTTAAATTAAGTTAAAGTACCAGTTCAGTCCGAAAATCAATACGTTTTAGCCACCCTTCGTCTTCGTAGTGAAAGTACTTTTATTGCACCACATAAACAGGTATCAGCGTTGTTTTTTCAAGCATCATGCCACTTTTCCTATGTGTAGAGAAAAAATAAAAAGATGATAATTTTGCTTCGTCTAGTCAATATTACACACGATGTGGTTCCATCGCCACTCAAGCAACATCAAACTTCGACCTATTTGGGATCGATTGGAATGACATGTAATTTTAATGATGATAATGGATCAGACGATTTTTTACATTTTTTTCAATTTCTATTAATATTTTAACACTTACAATTGCTCACTGGGTCATCGAATTCTTGTTAGCCAGTTTTTGTCGGTAAGTAAAAATAGTTTCGAAAGCACCGACAATAGAATATATTCTTTAGGATAATTCATGACGCAAACGATCAATGGCGAAACTTTTAAGAGTTTTTGAATATTTTACAATAATTTTATTACCGGTAACAATTCTTACTTGTTATTACACCAAAATCGAAATACGTCTAATCTTATCCATGACATCATAACAATGACGGAATGAAGTTCACATCGTAAAAATCATACAGCACAACATATCTCGGCAAATTATGTCCAATGCAAGGATTGTGCACATTTTTGTTGTGTACAAACTATTGTACACAAAATCTCTTGCACAAGCTTATGAATAAGGAACCACAAAATATTTTATAATTATCCTTATGTACACAATATTTGTGCCTAAATCAACGTATGTTTTGCTTTCATCCACATAAGATTAGATATTGTCATTGAATAAAACTCTGCTAGTTTAGGCACAAGTATCATAAACACAAAAAATTTGCTCATAAAATACTTTGTGATCGTTATTCATTAGCATGAGAGGATGATATTTTGCGTACGAAAATTTTTGCACAACGAAATTATACACAATCATTGTGTAAACTGAGCATAGTCTTCCCATTTCTCTACATTAACATTTGTTAATTACACTGATACGCAAATAGTAAGCTAAGAGCATAAAAAAAGAAGAAAAAAAACATTTCCAGCCATAATTGAAAATTTTTTATTGTATACATGATCGTTTCCCGACACGGCGGCGCGACATACAGTAATCTGACGTTAAGTGGGGCGCATTAATAAAAAATATGATTGCGATCGTCAACGCCCATCCTCTCCGTTTAATACAGCGCACTGCATATTTAAGCACAAGCGTCCTTTGAGCGCAGCGTTTCCCGATACTTTTAATGGCAAATCGCTCGGGTGCCTCCCCACGGCGATCGCTCGCTACAGGAACGTGTAGAATAGTATGTTTGAACTGATGAAAGCTTTTTACTAACAAGTTTACCGACAGCTGTTACCTTTAATAAAAACGAGGTAAAGAGTGGGGGAGAGGTGTCAGGATTTTCATGTTAAATTTTTTCTAACGATATGTTTTTTTGCTATACAATAAGCGCGCAATAAAAGTACAAAACCTGATTGTGATTTCTTTTTTCTGTTGCAGGCTGGAAACGATTACAAATCAGTGGAAAACTCCTCTCCAAATACGGATAGCAAAATGAGGTAAATAAATGGTTTTAATATTTTTTACAATCGCTACACGTTGGAATATATTTTCGATTGACGATCAGTTTAATTCATGGGAGGAAACAAAGAAATCCTCAGATTGCATATTCTTGTCAGCCTCGATTCGATTATCAAAGGTGCTTTAGAGTAAAGTTGGCTGATAAATTGTTATCAATGTATTTTAAAAACAAATAAAAAATTCTTATTATTTTTAAATAAAAAAATTTTTCTTAGACTTTTTGGCTAATTTTAAGATAAAAAGGATTCTTGTCATTTTTTCGTAAAAGTCGTCGTTTCACAAAGTTTTAAAAAACAGGATTTTTCACGAAATTTGACAAGGCTTTTGCACAGTCATTAATACACGTTTTTTAATCCAACAATACTATAATAACGTGGAACGAGCAATTTATGATTTAAATTGGATTTTTATCTAGCAACGTCTCATCGTAAGGTCTATTTCGGCGCTTACACGGTAAGTATGTCCTGGAGGCCACACATAAAGAGTTCCTTATGTTTATTTATAAATACCGGCATTAAAATTTTCTTTCAGTATTTACACTTCTAATTCTAATGCCCAAGGGTGCACATCATAACAATTGTTAGGTAGTACATTTTAAAACAATTTTTATAAACAAAAATGAAAATTCCTTATTTGTTGATAACAATTGATCAGTCAACTTTACAGCCGAGCACCTTTGATAATCGAATTCAGCACATCAGAATACATGAAAAAAAACTTTGGTGCAGCCATGGACCTCTATCGGCTACAAATATTACCCTGTTTGTTGTGGTTTCTTAGCTCAGAACATCCTATTCTACACATATTGCACTGCTGGACCTAGGCCAGAAAATTTATGTTTGCCCACGTAAAAAAAATCAAGTTTAAAAAACTTTAAAAAAAGTTTTTTTGTTCATGTTCAGAAAAAGTTTTTTTTAATTCTTTCTTGAATACTCATGGGGTAAGTTTGATCATTAGTTAATTGGAGATGAAGCTCCGCATCTCAGCTCAATACGCCAGGAGGAACAATTTAGTAGTAAACTGTGACGAGGCACGTACGTCTCAGTGCGTTTATCTGTTTAATGTTACATCCAACGTACCAAAACCCATCAAAGTATCTTTTATTAACCTATTAGTTAGTTGCCTAACCAAAGTCAAATTAACCAAAAGAAGGGCCAGAAACTCCTAACTTTAACTGTAAACATGTTAAGATATTAACATCGATAGACTTAAGATTATCGAGCTCATTACCCCTTTTTTTCGTATACATGTAGTCAAAGTTGACAAATTTCTACCAGTAATCGCTGTTCCAACAGTATAAATGAAACAGTTGGAAAAAATCATAAGACTTGCTTATTATCGGTCCAAGATTAGTTTTGCCAAACTCGACTACCATTACTCGCCTTTAAGTTAGCATCATATGAATAGATTTTTGATCGATTGTTTAGAAATTTAAGTAAGTNAACTTTTTTAAAACTTGCGTTTAAAGTTCTGACCAAGTTTCGCTCTGTCTAAAGAAAAAACTTTTAAAAAACTTTATCTGAACAAGAACAAAAAACTTTTTTTAAAGTTTTTAAAACTTGATTTTTTTTACGCGGGTGGCTACGCAAATCAACAAAAAAAGGTGAAGGAGTATAAAATGAATAATCAGGAACAACTTTGATGCTAAGCAGCAAATTCCATGTATACATAGAGGCTTAAAATAAAAAAAGAATGCCTTACCCAATGAGACACAAGCGACGACGTCCACGCACGTGACACGCAATCCCGAGCGCTTGATGGATCGGCAGCGCAGCCGATCCAGTCTTTTTCCTGTCCCTTGCAAAATTAACCCACGGGAACGACAAAAAGAGCAATATTGTCCTCTTCGGATGGTCCCACTTTCCCTCCGCTCCTGCACGTGAGAGAGTAATTGCTGGTCACTGCACGGGTGCCCCTTCGCCCCATAAATTAAACTCTTGCGGGGCCATCTAATTCTTGTTGTTTATTTAGTTTTACGTTCTAATCTATGTGTCCCCGGCTTTTGTGAGTCGTCGACGTTGTCGTAGAAAAATATTTCAGCCCACCACTACTAAAAAAACATATCGAAACGACTCGATCAGAAGTAAATTTAGATATGATTGTTGAAACCAACATGAAAATTTCAGGGCACCCATATGTATACTAACACCTGGTGCATCAAACTTAAATCTTAATACATGATGTTAAATAATAATTGAAAGCTTTATGTGCTAAATATGCTTTTTTTAAAAAAATTTTAATAATTGATATTTTTCATTCACATATTTGTTTAGAAGAAAAGACTTATTTTCTTGAACATTTTAGATTCGTCGGAAGTTTTTGTCTGAATGAATACAATCTTTGTGGACACATAAAAATAAATGAAAATGTTATTAATAACTGGGTTTATTAATAATAATTAAAAACTTTTGCTTTGTTTTACAATTTATTTCCTACTCTAAGTAAGGCTGGCAGCTGTTTTGGCATTTATGCAATTTTCAAAGGTTCGACATACACAAAACAAATTAATACATATCAAAGTAATTTTTGACAAATGGAAATTAATGTTTTCCAGCTGCAGATGAGCAAACAATTTCAAATGTATTAAAAAACACTACAGATTTTTCTACATCAGACATGGAAAAAATGTTTCCGCATACTTTTCTTTCAAACTACGTGGTAACCCACCTTAAATAGGTACAGTAAATAGAAATTTCCCATACACTGTAATAAAAATACCCATCTTCTTTGTACGGGTTAAACGAAATAATCTAAACTACCGTTAGACGTCACATTTGTAGGTACAGGTATCATATTTAATCTCTTGATCCCTACAATAGATGCTCAGCACATAGATTATGTTTTTCTTACGTGGGAAAAACAAAAGGATTGTACATCACACGTCTGGGTGGCAGGGGCGCACATGAATAAATCGGAGAGAATAGTAATTGAGACTTCCACATACGGTGTGTATGGCACAGATGTAAAACCATGATGTAACAGCGTCGCGTGTCTTCGAGTCCATTATCAGTTCAACACACGCTTATTAATCGAGCCACGCGATGTAACATTACTCCCCGGTGCTCCGTTATCTCCGCCGATTGTTCCCCCCGTATCCACGTGTGGATACGATTCGGCCCCGAGGCTGCGTGACGAAAGTTGTTGGCGAAAGCGCGAGGTATGCCATGTATAGGCACGGGAGGGAATATTATCATTTTCGCGTTTGTTTGTAATCGCTTTCGCGTCTGTCTGACCCCCCCCCCCTCCCATTGCGCTGAATTTTCGAGCTCTATAGCTGTATGATATTATACGGGCAGGTGCGCGCTCGCACGGCGTTTCGGGGACTTGAGTTTCAATGCCGGCGAAATTACGCTGCTCCGATCGATTTTTCTCTGTTTTCGGTGTTATTTTCGAAGGAACGTATCATCAACGTATTATTTTGTGTTTTTGTTATTATCCATGCAAATTTATAGGAGTAGGCATACTTTGACTGAGTGACAAGTTTTTCGAAATCAGAAAAAGAGCCTCTCGATAGTGCAATACCATTCTCTCGTAGCAATAATAAAAAAAGTCTTGTACTGCAATTAGAGGAAAATTTAAAATCATCGTGGAAATGAAGTATCGATGAAGAAAAAAAATTTAATTTACTTTTCGTATTTTTTCAATATTCTTTCAATAAGCATTCTAAAATCGTGTGGATCGGCAAAATACACAAATTGTTTTTTATTTGTTCATTGATACTATTTTCCGACAATCAACTTACGTTTTTCCCCTTTTATACATCGAGCAATTCCATTACATCCCGATAAGTGTCTCCAACTATTATCAGACTTGTCGCTCATTTACTCGTGGACAGATATTTACTCCCAGAAATTAAATTATTTATCTCTCGCATACGCATCGAAAGAGCTACATTCGTATCACTCTGTTATCAAAAAGTTCAAAAACATTTTTGTGCTATTACGAGAGCCAAAAGACAATGTCACGAGCACCGGGGACGCTTAAGGTTTTAATATTCATTTCAGCGCGTTATTGCGACGATTTGTTGTCCTTATCACCAAGTGTATGGCTTGTATGCATTATTTTTATCGCTGGACGAATTTGCAAGCTAACGCCCGAGAGTCACTTATCGACCAAGTTCTTTCTTTTTAAAGGGATGTTGGGCGCCTTTCTAGTCATCCGCGTGTATCTCTCGGCTTTTGGCAGGTCTGGAAGATACACTCCTGCCGACAGTGACACATCACTTTTTTACCCTAGATGATGCATCGCTTTCGAGCCGGTTGATGCCTTTTTATTCGGACTGAAACTTTTCGAGTTTCAGCAACAACAACAACGCACATGCATACTTCCTTTTTGCGAGAGCATTAGCTCAGCCGTGTGCTTTTATCCTAGAGGTTTGCTGTGTTTTTAATTCGTTTGGATATTCAGGAAAAAAGTTTCGTTGTCCATTTGTTTGGCCTGAAATTCTCGAAAAAAAGCACTTTGATGCGCGAAAAATCCAGGCCGCTGTTTGTTGACGATAAACACGAACCAAAACGAAAAAAAAGAGCTTCGGCTCTGTTTTTACAAGGCTTACATTTACAATGTATGGACATGAAAACGGAGAATAACACATCGGACGTGTTGGTTGAACGAGAGCTTTTTTAAAAAATTATGGAGCTGCGGATAAAAGCTTGCCGCATATTACAGGCAGATAAAAGATAAAGCAGTGACCGTGTGTAAGGAGATTTAATCTGTTGTCGTTGTTATGATGTATAGGCGTGGAGTTTTGATTGACATGATGGCCAAGATTGATGGTAGTTGTTGCTGGCCGTGGATTTCACGAGGAGAAAAGTACAGATGATTTTTATAAAAGTACGATAGATTCAATTCATTAGTATGAGTTACATGGGAAAAAAATTTAATTTTTATTATTTTCTAAGATTATGTATGTCATGGAACGAAGAGTTATAGAGATTTTTAATGTCAAAATCTTTACGGTAAAATGAGAACTCTTAGA